AATCCCTCAGAGGGTCATGAAACTGGAATATGTTTGGTGAGCCACCATGTTTTGAATGCAATTACTTGCTACAAAACTAATCACACTATAAATATGCAATTTCTTCTTTTTAGCTGGCCTGGAAATTGGTTAGGTCTTATTTTTGTTTTTCCCTACTACTAAATAAGAAAATCAATTTCCCTATGATAAGCTAAGCTGCAGGGTGAAGCCACCATGCCCAGCACCGCTGTGTGATTCTCATCTCATTTCCTCAAACCCTTTGAACATTTGTGTCAAAATCAGGGAATAGCAATGAGCTTGAACTCTTCTGATCTTAGCAAAGCCTGACCCAATTTCTAAAAGTAGTCCAGAATCAGGCGGGAGAGAAAATGGGATGCCATTCTAATCTCATTCCAGTATATGAAAACTCATTCAAAAAATTCTTTCTGATCCTTTTAATGCTCCTGAGCCAGGTCATGATTTTAGAAGCAAACAATTAGAAATAGGCCCTGGATTTAGAAAGACAGAAATGAGAAAGCAACACAACCATGTTGCAATCACATTGCACAGATAAATCTCTGTTCTCATCTTCAGCTGACAAACAAATATTCTCCAAGCTAGCAGGATTCCACTGAAGTATTGTAAGTACATTCACACAACTGTTCTTAAAATGAGAATTAAAGGAATCCAGTAGGAGCAACAACTCGGCTTTGTTTGGGATGTGTAATTTTTATCAAATTATTTTAATTTTTATCAAACGGAAAGATATAGAGGAAAATATCAGGAAGGAAAAACAAGAAAATTGGAGATATTAAAGGAACATTGTGTGCAAAGATGTCCAACAAGGCCTTACAAATAGCAGAGATGAGAAGGGAAACAAAACGCAAAGGAGATAGGGAAAGTTACAGAAAATTGAATGCAGACTTCCAAAGAATAGCAAGGAGAGACAAGAGGGCCTTCTTAAATGAACAGTGCAAAAAAATAGAGGAAAATGATAGAAAGGGAAAAATCAGATATCTGTTCAAGAAAATTGGAGATGTTAAAGGAATATTTTGTGCAAAGATGGACAGGATAGTAAGGACAAGAATGTTAGGGATCTAACAGAAACAGAAAACATTAAGAACAGGTGGCAAGAATATACAGAGGAATTATACCAGAAAGATCTGGATGTCCTGGACAACCTAGATGGTGTGGTTGCTGACCTTGAGCCAGATATCCTGGGGAGTGAAGTCAAGTGGGCCTTAGAAAGCATGGCTAACAACAAAGCCAGTGGAGGCGATAGTATTCCAGTGGAACTATTTAAAATCTTAAAAGATGATGCTGTTAAAGTGCTACACTCAATATGCCAGCAAGTTTGGAAAAATCAGCAGTGGCCAGAGGATTGGAAAAGATCAGTCTACATCCCAATCCCAAAGAAGGGCAATGCCAAAGAATGCTCCAACTACCGTATAATTGCACTCATTTCACACCTTTTAGCAAGGTTATGCTCAAAATCCTACAAGGTAGGCTTCAGCAGTATGTGGACCGAGAACTCCCAGAAGTACAAGCTGGATTTCGAAGGGGCAGAGGAACTAGAGACCAAATTGCTAACATGCGCTAGATTATGGAGAAAGCCAGAAAGTTCCAGAAAAACATGTACTTCTGCTTCATTGACTACGCAAAAGCCTTTGACTGTGTGGACCACAACAAACTATGGCAAATTCTTCAAGAAATGCGAATGCCTGACCATCTTATCTATCTCCTGAGAAATCTATATGTGGGACAGGAAGCAACAGTTAGAGGTGGGTATGAAATAACAGATTAGTTCTAAATTGGAAAAGGAGTACAACAATGCTGTATATTGTCTCCCTGCTTATTTAACATATGCAGAATACATCATGCGAAAGGCAGAACTGGAGGAATCCCAAACCGGAATTAAGATTGGCAGAAGAAATATCAACAAGCTCAGATATGCAGATGATACCACTCTGATGGCAGAAAATGGGGAGGAATTAAAGAACCTCATAATGAGGGTGAAAGAGGACAGCACAAAAAATGGTCTGAACCTCAACATAAAAAAACTAAGATCAAGGCCACTGGTCCCATCACCTCCTGACAAGTAGAAGGGGACGATATGGCAGCAGTGACAGATTTTACTTTCTTGGGCTCCATGATCACTGCAGATGGCGACAGCAGCCACAAAATTAAAAGACGCCTGCTTCTTGGGAGGAAAGCGATGACAAACCTTGACAGCATCTTAAAAAGCAGAGACATCACCTTGCCAACAAAGGTCCGCATAGTCAAAGCTATGGTTTTTCCTGTATGGAAGTGAGAGCTGGACCATAAAGAAGGCTGGCCACCGAAGAATTGATGCCTTTGAATTGTGGTGCTGGATGAGACCCTTGAGAGTCCCCTGGACTACAAAGAGAACAAACCTATCCATTTTGAAGGAAATCAACCCTGAGTGCTCACTGGAAGGACAGATCCTGAAACTGAGCCTCCAATACTTTGGCCATCTCATGAGAAGAGGAGACTCCCTGGTAAAGACCCTGAGGTGTTTGGCCCTCCCCTCTGGGGTATTAGAAGGGGAGTATAAAAATACTCCTTTTCCTGAAAGGTTATGTATGCTCCTGCCAGCTGATGGAGATTGGGACCATACAGCATATGTTCTTCACCTGCCCATTTTTGAAGCAGTGTGAAAAAAGACTATTATTCCCTTAATAGATAGAATCGTAGGACGTTCAGAGGGAAATAGACTTGAGTTCCTTCTCTCAGATATTGATATGCAGATCACCTGTCAAGTTGCGAAATTCTGTGTAGCAATACTTCGACTGTGGAAGTTAAGTACCAATTAGATAGTAGCTCCTAGCTGTATGTATGCCAACATGTTCTAATGAAATATTGAAAATTAGAAATTATAAGGTTTTATAAGGTTTTATACTTATGTGACTGGTCTAAGGACCGTAAATAAATTATTCTAAATGACCCTGATGTTGGGGAAAGTGTGAGGGCAAGAGGAGAAGGGGGCAACAGAGGATGAGATGGTTGGACAGTGTCATCGAAGCTACCAACATGAATTTGACCCAACTCCAGGAGGCAGTGGAAGACAGGAGGGCCTGGAGTGCTTTGGTCTATGGGGTCGCAAAGAGTCGGACATGACTTAATGACTAAAGAACCACAAAAAAATTTATCTGGGTCTTATGAAAGCAGATTGTAGGCAGATGCAGATTTAAGATTAAATGATTGAGCCATGTCTGTGTAGTAATCATCTTACTTGCAAACCTTTTCACAAGCACATACAGGGTGTGTTCTTAAAAGCCACATTCACATGGAGATGCCTTCTATCATGGCCACGGAAGCCATAGTCCAAAATTAGCGATGCTTGTCATTTTGGCATATTTGGCATCAGTTGGCGATCAAAGAAGTTGGAAGGAATCCTGTGTGTGATCTGTAGCAGCTTGCATGTGGGCCTATATCCCAGAATTACAGGTCTGTTCGGGGTGGTCTACTAAATTGATTTCAGGATAAGTAAATCTAGTGACGAGCACTGGAGTATTTATTCGTGGCATTGAAAGACTGATAGATGGATGCAATTGTTTCTGACCTGCCTTTTAGAATACATAGCCTCCCAATACAGCAATAAGCACAAATATTGTGAAAAGTCCTAGTTAGTTAATGCCCCATTGACATGCAATCAACTCATAGCAACTGTAATAAGGGCTTTCGAGGTGAGATATTTAAGAAATGGCTTTACCAGTTCCACTCCCCCAATTAGTTTCCATGACCAAGAGGGGATTTGAACCCTGGTATGCAGAGTCCTAATTCATCACTCTATCCACTACACCACAGTGGGTGAAAAATCCTAGTATATATTTTAAAACAAAAAATGTTATAAGGAGCCTCCTCACAGGGGGGTTGTCAATATTTATTCCTGTGGACCAAGTCCTTCTGCAAAAGAAGAATAGGCATCTCTACAGTGGACCCTCCACTTACAGACGGCTCGACTTACAGACTTTTCGAGTTACAGACTTCTCTGGCTGCAAAATTTAGATTCGACTTGCAGCCATAGAATCGACTTACAGACCAGAAAAAAACCAAAATGGAATAAAAATAGAATAAAAACCACTGGTTATGGGATTAATCGGTTTTCAGTGCATCTTAATGGAGATTCGACTTACAGACTTTTTGACTTGCAGCCACCATTCCAATACGGATTAATTCCTTAAGTAGAGGGTCCACTGTAGTGTCATCCTGAGCTGCTTACCTTTCTCTACTGGACTCTTTCTCATAAGGACTTTAAGGATACCTGTCCCCACAGGTGAGATGAGCAGCAGAAGGCTATCCCAAGTGAGTAGTTTAACTTAAGGTTGTTGTGGGTTTTTCTGGCTCTTTGGCCGTGTTCTGAAGGTTGTTCTTCCTCTGAAGATGCCGGCCACAGAGACTGGCGAAACGTTAGGAAGGACAACATTCAGAGCACGGTCAAAGAGTCCAAAAAACCCACAACAACCATTAGATCCTGGCCGTGAAAGCCTTCGAGAATAGTTTAACTTATCTTTAACTCATCTTGGGTTTTTTTGTTTGTTTTGCATCAACATTTCTCCAGTAATAAGCTGGCTAGGGATGAGCAAGTTCAAGGAAAGAAAGTCCTTGCCGGAAGACAGGATCATTAACAGTGTCATAAAATAACATAAATTTGAGAAGAAATTCAAATGCCTTTTTTTTTCAGCATCAATATGATTTGGTCCGTTGTTTTGCTTATGTACAATTAATTTAATGTAGAAACCAAGTTTTCCCAACTTGTGCCTTTGAAGAAAGCAAGCAGAGCTCTGTGTACTCCAA